CGGCTCTGTCCTGTGCCTACACTGCCCTGGCTGGGTAGCACCTGCCCCCGCCCCAGTCCCTCCCTCACTGTGGGGGGCATTGATCTGGCCCCTGACACCTCTTCCCTCCCCACTTCCCTTCCACCACAATGGACTTACCAGCTGCACGCAGCTCTCCAAGCTGCCGGACTGTGCTCCTAGCTGCTTGTGTGCTGCACTGCAGCTGTGTGCACACGTAGGCATTTATTGACCAAATTATCAGCCACATCAGGCCAATTTCTGATGCAACCAATTTTCTTTATATCAATGCCGATCCAATATTGGACCCATTATCGGTGCACCTCTAGATGGTAGCTGTCCTCCCTTCCCTTTCTGGTACTGCCATGCTGATCTGTAACTGTGGCAATGCAATGGTGACCAAATCAGCCTTTTTCTACAGAGCAAGCTGTATGTTAAGGCACAGGCCCATGACTTCACCTGAAATTCTTCTGGGTTAAAATATGAAGTGGGGTAGCCAGGCTGTTTTCAGGAGCATGTGAAACTTAAATTGATCTTCATTTGTGGTGATATCCACAAGAACCCATTATGCTAAGGATTTGGGGGCTGCATAGAGAGCTTTGGTCCTTGTACTGAAGAATTTATCATCTTATATTGGGCATTACACATTTTGTTCCAAAATGAGTATGTGTTAGGAATACTCATACTAACAAAGTATAAGTATGACTGAAGAGTCAACAGGGATTACACTGAAATATCAGTCACCTGTTCATTTGAGTTACGTGTACCTCTTGATGGCGTAGAAGGTTCCATAATATTGTGACTTTCCTGATTTCATGCTTGATCCAACCTGTGCCTTCACAGGCTATGTTGGATTGTTTTGATGGTAATGAGAATGGGAGAATTTAGATGGAGGAGGAAGGAATTAAAATGAAACTTCCCAAATGAGCTTTGTTATGCAGTGGTCAGTCTTAGAAATCTTCATACTTTCCTTTGAAGTATGATATTGGACTGTAAGGATCAACAACAGTCCTACCTGATATGGTAAATCATGAATTTTTAAATGAGACAGAAATGGGAACCAGGTCATGAACTAACCAGCTCCAGGCCAGTAAAATGGGTAGACTTTCATTAGTTTATGTGTATGTTACTGTTCTATCTCCTTGCAACCTCTGGTGGCATGTGAACCTTTCTTTATAGTCTCAAAGGGAGTGTTTCATCCATTTGCTTAACCAAGCCACTTTTCTTCTGAAAATGTATTTACCTTGAATATAGGCCATTCATGGCCAAGTTACATTCACTGGTCTCCTTGGATGGGAAAGGCAATCAGGGAACCCGGGGTGTGGGGGAGGAGGCACTTTCTAACCCTTTGAAGCTATGCAGATCACTTTGCCACACTAGGGATTCTGATAGGGAATTTTCTGCACCATGGGGGATACCACTGTTGGCTTTTCTCTAGATCTGATTTCAAGAATGCAATGGTGATAGCCCGTATTGGACTATCCCACCCAGATCTGTTGTACTCACTCATACCAAGGTAACAGTTTCTTTTATTATTGTTCTCTTCTGTAACACTAAGACAAATTATCAGGCCATAATGTCCAGATACAAATATTACTTACAAAAGAGAAAAATTGCCTGGTCACTTCCAGAAGACCAAAGCAAGTCCTTATTACTGAATGGCTGCCAATTACTAAGTACATTTTGAGAGAATCCTTAGCTTCTCATGTAACATCTAAAGCTGTAAGATCAGTCTTCCTAACTAATGGCTTTTCTCTTCTATAAGTTTTTGTGTCAAGCAAAAGGTGACTTAAGGGGGCATAAAGGTGTGTGATATTTATAGGTTTTTTGTTATAAAGTCTGTAACTACACTTTTTTTTGGTATGTTTACAGGGGTGACCCTTCAATTGTGAAACTGAATATTGCTATTACCACAGGCTACCTCATTTCTGGTAATTATGCAATATGTATATAGTATACATTTGGATATCTATAGCAAATCATTATTCTAAAGATTTGTTGAATGTATATAATATTGATTCCATTGTGGCTTTTAAATATATTATTATATTTGTGGGCTCTGGAGCAGTGGCAGAATCCTCCCAAAGGGATGGGGAGAGATGGAAATAGTACTTCTGTGGGTGATGGAGGAACGCTACTGCATGGCTTATGGTCAGGGATGCATCTGCCGACTGCTAACTTGCTCTGATCTGCCATCCAACTCGGAAGGAATTGAAGTTGGCCTTAGTGCTCTTTGGGAGTGTCCTGAACTTCTGTCAGGTTGAACAAGCTCCTCCTCCTTTAAGCCCATAGGCTGTGTCCCCATGAGCAGGGGTGTGCAGTTGCCCTAGCACACCCACCTGCACGTGGGGTTAATATGGGGAAAAATACTTTGGGTGGCATAGGGGAGGCCGGGGCCAGCACCTGTGCTGGGCCCAGCAGCCTTACCTGAAGTCCTAGGGGCCTCCTGGGGCTGCAGTGGCAGCGATTGGGTGTGTGGAGCATGGCTGGCAGCTAGAGCATGGCTCTGGCGGGTCAGGCTCCACTTACAGACAGTGTACACTGCCACCATGTGCGCTGCCCCACTCTTTTCTGGCACAGGGTTTTTTTCATTGGGGGAGGGGTTTGACACCAGGATTTCCTGGTGTCAAAAAACCCCACCACACTGCAAATTAGCAGCATGGCAAATGCCTGCATGTGTGCTGTGTGCGAACCACTGCATCTGCACTCATCTGGATGTGCTCATAGAATGCTAGCAGCAGGGTTTTAGTAACCCCAACAAAAGCTTGAAAAAATGACTGTATCCTTACTCTTATCCCCATTGGCCCCTTAAGCCAGATTCTTATGTGTAAGAGTCTTGTGTGAGAATGTAGAAAAGAACATTAATTACCCTGTCTGATAGGGCTTTCATCCTTACATATACTTGTGCTGTACTTCACTCAATTATCTTTTCTTAGTTAACAGTGGTTGGGGTGTTTTCTGAAGGAAGGATTTTTGATGGAAAATCCTGAATTATTCAAGCAGTTTTTTGTTGTGGTAACACGTTAGTTTCAAAGAAGCTTTTCCATATCAAGGATGGAACTTCTGGTTAGAGGGATACACGACAGGTCTGTCTGGGTCATAGCATTAATCTACCATGAGGGAGAGTCAGGATCAAGTCCAGGGACTGCCAAATAGAGTGACTTGTACTTTGGTCTTCTACATCCCTAATCATCCAGCTGTTCTGGGGGAAGTACTCTCAATCCTATTTTTGACTCCTTATATACATTTGTTGGAACTTTATTTTGAATAATTCTCTATTGGCATTTAATTATAAATTCATGAATACATTGGAACAGCCTCTATAGCCCAGTGGCTAAATTCAGATCTCTTTTGCTTAAGCAATATTTAATTTTTTATATAAAATGGAACAGCCACAGATAACCACTACCCCTGGTAGTCAGGTCATGTACTTGTGGGAGACTTGAAGTTCATGACCTTGGACTGACTTTGGGAAGAGCAAGGACTATCATTGAGGTTTCCCACATCAATGATGAGCGTGTAACAGTCAGGCTATTCTAGTGCTCTGTGTCTTGTCCCAGTTCAAAATAGAGACATTTCTGAAATCTCAAATTGTCATGGGATGGGAAAAGAAGTTTTCTGCTCAGTCCTCTTAAATAGAGAGACATGAGTTCTTGTTATATTTTTATAATTTGTGAGTTGTGATTAATGAAGCTAAGAACTATTCAAAGTGAATCCTGCAAATATGTGTTTGGCATTGGGGGGGTCCTGCCTACTAATATAACATTCTTGGTTTAATCTCTTTGAACTTTTAATGTTGATCCACAGAAGCCAGTTTTAAGCTTAGAAGTTTTCCCTTCAAAGGAAATTAAGATTATTTTGTTGCTTTAAATTGAATATCATTTGTCATGTTAAGTGTCTGCATTGATAACCTAGAAAGATTTGAAAATTAAAGTAATAACAAGTAAAGGGTAACTGTGGTAAATTACTAGTTTGTTTGGTTTTTCTTCCCCTTTCCCTTCTCTCTTGTAGATTTGCTGCTTATTACTTACTATTGGAAGGCAATTGGAGACATTTTTTTTGTAATTCATCATTTGATGGCTCTATATGCTTATTACTTTGTGCTGGTGAGTGCCATATTTTCAAATATTCTAACAAGCACTTAATAGTGGCTAAAGATGAATATCACTGCATTGTGGTGATGTATCTCAACCAGTATTTCCCCAAGAAATCCCAGGCTTTGTATATCTTTTTACAGATAAGATATACTGTTATACTTTTCTAAAGGCCTTAAATTCCACAAATATTAACCAGGCCATAATCTTCTGATATCTTAAAATGCATAAGACAGTCACTTGAATTCTGCATGTGTATGTCAGGAATTCTTTAAAATGTGCCATGTCTGAAGTGAGCTTGGGCTAGCAAAAGCTTGTGGTATAAATCTCCAGATTTAGTTAGCCTAAAAGGTAGAGGAGGACGCTAATTTACTCTGCCTTTCTGCCTGACTTCAGACGAAATGCTAACTACCTCTATAATTATCCAAACAGGCAAATCAAAGTAATAGATTTAGCTAAACTGAGAAATAATGACAATCGCTCTGAAATTCCAGGTCTGAAGGACTTAGTTCTGGCTTGAGTAACTCGCAGAAGTTGATCCACAGCCCTATTTTAAGATGGAAATTTATTATATAAGTTTTAGGGCCCCTCTACACATGCAGGTAATGGTGCAGTGGGATCTAATGCATGATCCACACAATTGTGCCTCCCTGCCATGCACATGTGGCATTTCAAAAGCATGTTTTTTGGGATTGTGAGTCAGATCTCATGATGCCTTATTGCCAGTAGAGGGAGAACTCAATCACCATGCATTCCTGGCCCCATCAGCTGACCCAGGCCCCCAGCCACAGGGGCATCCCAGGGGCCTCCATGGTGGGGAGACAACAGCCAACGCAGCATCCCAGCTGTGGAGCTGCTTCATACAACTGCAGTCTTCCAGCCATAGGGGTGCGTGGAGGGCCCCTGTGGCTGGGAGTCCTGTCAGCTGGGAGTCAGCTTCACCTTGGGGCGGGGGGGGCAGGTGAGCCCCTCTAGCTGGGAGCTCCAATCAGCTGATAGGACACCCAGCCACAGGGGCCCTTGGCCACATTTTCAGTTATGGCATGATACGAAGCAGCTACAAAGTTATAACACATTTTGTGGAATAACTTTGTAGCTTATTCCTCTCTTTATCACTTTATTAATTGATTGAATGTGTGGCCCAATGACTACTTGAGGTGTAATGTGTAGATGGGCCCTTATGTAAACATCCAAACCAGTTTATAGAGGCAGTGTTGCATCTGGTAGTACTCCCCCAGTTGGACACTTATCACTCTCTGTGAGGGGATTCAGATATTGACTGCCATGTCCTCTGAGCTTACTGTGGATGGTTAGGCATTGTCCCTAATATGGAGACTCTGATTCGGGCCCCTAGGGG